ATTAATAAATATCTTGTTAAACAAGCAGTGTCTATAGATGGCGCCAAAGGGGATGAGACGACTCAGAGCCAAGACATATACAGTTCAGAATTACTCCGACCAACACTTTTTGTTCTTCCATCACCTTCTATACTTGTTGGGTACGTATGCAGTCATGCAGATGTCCGTCTGTTCTATTAGCAGTCGTCTTTAGATAAAATTTGGTCTTGATCAAGTGCCCTTGTGATGGGTTTATTCATGAAGCATGATCTCCTTTTGTTAGGATATCTTAAAAAATTTTACATACTGCATTCTGGTGATTTTGAGCTCTCTTTACGTATGTATATTTTCCCTGTGACAGGTACCAAGATGACTGGCTTAAGATATCAACAAATTCCTTGCCACATTGGGAAAAGGCCCCTTTTGAGCCATATGCTCTGCCAAAAAATGTAAGTTTTAAGGAAATCATCTGAAAGATATTCTTTTGTTTTCTTGCAAATTAGGCTAACTAATAACTTTTTGATTAAGATAACTGTTTGTCCTTCGTTACCTTTCGCAGATTAACTACACTGTTGTATGCCCGGATATTGATCCTCTAACCTGTGCTGCTGCTGATTTCTTCCAGCAACTTGGAACTGGTGAGTCGACGAGTTTATCAATTGTGAAAGAGGTTTTGCTCAAACATGATAAGCATTAGTTTCTGATAAAAATTGTTTCTAGAGGAACAAGATTCCTGAAATTTTCTCATCATTTCTTCTGATGTACTTTTTATTGCATAGTTTATGAGATGTGTAGACTGGGAACCCATTTGCCACAAAGCCTGGGAAATCAAATGGAAACAGACGCTGGAAAATTGTCTTCATCTGGATTTGTTCTACTTGATTACCCCCAATCAATGAAGATTGAAAGCAATAACACATCGCTTCTGGGATCTCTCAGCGATTATTTTCTGTCTTTGTCGAACGGGTGGAATGTGAGTAGCTATCTGAAGTCTTTATCAAAGGCGTTGAAAGGTATAAAGCTTGGGTCTTACCTTTACACAAACCAGAAAGAAGGATCAGGGAGTCCTTGTATGGTAAGTATTGAGTTAGAAAATACATATGTTAATTGAGATTAGTGTTCTTCAACCAAGTGCAGCTGTTGATACTTGTTTACTTCTATTTCTTATAGGTAGTATACATAGTGTGTCCATTTCCTGACCCTTCAGCAGTTTTAAGGACGATCGTCGAATCGTCTATAGCACTTGGGTCAGTAATACAGTCAGATAGAGACAGGAGATCGATACTTAACAGTCAGGTTGCAAGGGCTTTTGGTAGTTCTGCTGCTGTTGACGAAACATCAATATCTCACATTCCAGTGCTTTCAGGGTTTAATGTCCCTAAGTTAGTTCTACAAGTGGTGTCTGTTGATTCTATTTTCCGTATTACAAGTCCAAGCTTTAATGAGCTTGTCATTCTCAAGGATACTGCTTTTTCTGTATATAATAAAGCTCGGAGAATTTCAAGAGGAGTACCGAATGATGCATTCCTGTCATCATCTTTATCTGGCAGATCCACTTCAGCGTTGACACCAATGAGCTCTATTTCAGGAATCTGGAAAGACTGTGTTGGTTCTCGAATGACAGGTTCTACACATCCAAGAGATGGCGAAATGGATGTTAGCTTGAGAACGGGTGGTTGGGATACTTCCTGGCAAATACCGAGATCTGGAGGTTTAAGCTGTGACCCAAACAGAAATGGAGATTTTTACCTAAATGATGAAATTTTCTATTTATTTGAACCACTTTTCATTCTTTCTGAGCCTGGTTCTGTGGAGCGTGGAGTTTCACCTTCTTTTGGCGGCTTGGGATCTGAGTCTTCAAAGCCAATACCTGAGGATGGTGGCAGAGGTTCTGGAGCTGGTTTGAATTCAATGGAAGGTATAACATCGGGATCTAACTCCCAGGGTGATGCATCCCAGCTTGAAGGAAAGGCTATTCCAAGTTTACATTGCTCCTACGGTTGGACAGAGGACTGGAGGTGGCTTGTAAGCATCTGGACGGATGCCAGGGGTGAATTACTTGACACACATATATTTCCCTTTGGTGGAATTAGCAGCAGACAGGATACGAAAGGGCTGCAGTGTCTTTTTGTTCAAGTTCTGCAGCAGGGATGTCAAATACTACAGGCGTGTTCCTCCCCTGATAATGGATCTTACAAACCCAGGAATTTTGTCATTACACGCATTGGGAATTTCTTCGAGCTTGAATACCAAGGTAAATTAGCGTCTTTTATACCTCTCTTTGACCCTTACATTCTGTTCTAACCTGATATTTCATCCTGCTCTTATTCCAATTGCGCCTGGGAATTGAATTCTCTAGGATTGATATGTTACATAACCCTGGTTTGTTGTCTTGCTGTGGATATAACAGAGTGGCAAAAGGCAATTTACTCAGCTGGAGGTCCTGAGATTAAAAAGTGGCCTATTCAACTTCGACGTTCTGCGCCTTCTGGAATAGCCTCCAATAGCAACGGATCTTCCTTGCAACAGCAGGATCTGAGTTTGATTCAAGAGAGAGCCTCATCAACTAGCACACTCTACAGCTCTCATTCAAAACCATCCACCTTTGTGAAAGGCAGTATGGGGCAATCTGCTGGAAGAAAGCAGATCATGGGTGGGCAAACCATTTCTGGTACTCCAAGGGGATTGTTTCAGTGGGTTCATAGCATCAGTTTTGCTTCTATTTCACTCGATCATTCTCTGCATTTTGTTCTTCCAGCTGAGTTGGTTTCTGCTGGTCAGTTTTCTGATTTGTTTTCCATTGTTCTCCTCATTTCACTCATATATATTATGTGTGACCAATTTTAAAATTTCATAAAAATGGAGCAAGACACTGTCTTACATGATTATTTACACAATTATGCAGGAGGTGGCCAGAGTAGTACTGGTATGAGTTCAGTTAATTACATTGAAGGTTTCACTCCTGTCAAATCTATCGGGTCTACTGCTTTCTCTTACATGATGATACCATCACCCAATATGCGCTTTCTTCACCCAAGTCCTCTTCAGCTTCCTACATGTTTAACTGCCGAGTCACCTCCACTTGCACACCTCCTTCACAGCAAAGGATGTGCAATCCCTCTGTCTACCGGATTTGTTGTTTCAAAAGCTGTGCCTTCCATGAGAAAAGACTCAAGAATAAACATTAAAGAAGAATGGCCATCAGTTCTTTCTGTAAGTCTTGTAGACTATTATGGTGGTTATGGCCATGCTCACGACAAAATTCTTCAAGGAAGCATGAAGCAAGGAGGAGGGACCAAAGAAACTAGAGACTTTGAAGTTGAAAGCCATATTATCCTTGAGTCAATAGCGGCAGAACTCCATGCTCTATCATGGATGACTGTTAGTCCAGTATATCTGGACAGGCGTACGGCATTGCCGTTTCACTGTGATATGGTTTTGAGATTGAGACGTCTGCTTCATTTTGCGGACAAAGAACTCTCCAGGCTACCGGATAAGTCGGGAGTTTAAAACATAGCAGGAGCATGCAGATCAATAAGTTCTCTATCAGAAGATGAGACCAACCTTTCTGTGAACTTCATCCTGCACCTCCTGAGTAGTCTTGTCATATTTAAGGCACATAGGTTTCTCAGGCTAGTTCACCAGTGCTATATGCTATAGTAAGTAGGTAGAAATTGTTGTAGATGTAGTCCGGGTTTTGATTTGATGCTTACGAAATCTGTAAAAATTTAGCATTTACGGCTTGCTTTACTGGTTTTGATTCACTTAAATGCATAGGTTAGTTTCTTTATAACCCCTTGTATTTGTAATTCAACATTATTTATCATTCCACTGTAAATTTAGCAAGATATCCATGTGTTTCTCAGTGCAGACTTTTATTTGTTGTTGTAAACTCTTGTACCTTCGGTTTGAACATCATGGTTCTCTCTTGATCAGTCGTAATGGATCCTTACTGTTGTATAAGTTGTGCAGCTGAATTTTTTTAGAGTAGATTCAGATTTTTAGTCCCTCATCGTCTGCCTCAGGACCATCTTACTGCTATCTATTGTTTGCATAGAAACTTCCTCAGCAGTTGCTACCGTTTCTTATCTGGTAAGCTACTTATCTCTTGATTTTGCTTTAAAAGAACTGTTACAAGCATTGTGTCTTTATTCATTGATTTTGTTATTCTCAGGAGGCATGAGAAGAGATGAACAGCAAGTAAATGGACTATAAAAGTGGCGGCCACTCTCATTTGCATGAACTTAAATGCTGTGGTATTATCTCATTCTTGCTGCCTGCATCTTTCTGTCTGGTTTGTCCCGCATACTCAGTCTTACCCTTTACTTTAATCTGTCATACATACATATATAGAATAAGGTCTGATTATGTGGAAAATGGAAGTTGGAGCTTAGTGGGTTCAGGGTATTGGTATGGAAAGTTTTCTATGAATGTATTAATACTTGATGTCGCGGGAAATGACTTCATAGTTTACATGATCTGTTATTGGAACTAGCCCACAATCAAATGCATTGGCACTAAGGATAGCACCCATATTTGTGATTTAGATTATGTTTTAACTCTCATATGAAAAAGCACGTAGCATTGATCAGCTTGCAACATAAGCTTTGATTATCTATATACGTTTCCTTTACGATGGAAGAAGAGAATGTTGAATATGTTTTCTCCATCTTGTGTTGGCATATACGCCCTATGATTTTATTGCAATTTCATGTGAAGTCATTTATTGTGGGGGTCATCTTCTTGCCTTTCTTTTCCGGGGTGAGTCACATGGGAGCTTATGTTGTTGCCTCAAGGCACCAAAACAACATCATGACAATGATGATGACGATGTCGACATCATAGTTGCCCCCACACAACCATCCAAATACAGCTCATCGAATTATTGATTCCACCGACTCTTGGACAATTCCAAGGTACCCTCCTCACTCATTGATCTTTTGTGTGAACCCAAATCACTGAAATCATTTTTGCAACTCTTTTCATGGATGTTGTGGATTAATCAAAGATAACATCAGCAATTGTAATAATATGATGAAGGAACTCATAAACAGTCTGATAATTGATGGTACACATAGAGATATACATACAAGAACATAGGGAAACAGATGGTTACATTAACAATGCAACATTCTAAACATGAGAAACCAAATCACACAAACTTCATTAACAAATACAATAAAATAATAGAGTTAAAACAAAAGAATGATCAAAAGATGAAACCAGATGCCAATGCAACAACAGATGCAAACAATGCTGGTACAAACATAGCGGCATCAGAGGTTGGGCTTGGAGCCGGAGCTTCCACGGTGGTGGCTGCCGCAGCAGAAAAAGCCATCGCAACAACCATAGCAAATACCATCATCTTCATCTTCATTGCCTCCATTGTTACTTACTTCTCTTTGATGTGTTTGAATAAGAATATTTTTTCTCAAGAGAAAGATTTTAATATGTTATTCTTGTTTGGATTTTGTGTATGGTATAAGAGTTTGTGGGGGAAATGGCATTGGTCTATTTATACAGCAATTGAATGACATTATTACAGCTGGCAAATTGGCTGTCTCTTGGCCCAAACCACATTCTTCCCTTTCTCAACCACTGTCCTTTCTTTTCTTTCCAACCTCACATACAATATATTTAATAATGTATTTTACTAATTTTTGGTTTGATTGTAATAAATTTTGTATATGTGTTTCCACATGAGTAGTTGAAAGGATAAGAAGTAACATCTAGTTTTATTCTTCTTAGCTATTATTACTTAGTACTATAGTAATAAGCAAACTATAGATGAGATCTAGATAAACAAAATGATAATAAAATTTAATACTCTATAATTATGATAATTTTTTCAATATAGATAAATTAATATTTATATAAACTAATAAAATATGTTAATGTCTCAACATGATTAATTCAATAGGATTTTACTGTGTTCAAAAATAGCAAATCAACTGGATTTTTCTATCCAAATATTTTTGTTTGTATATTTTATCTCCATATAAATAAATTTCTAGAATATTCTCCTTTTTCATAAATAGATCAGAACAGTTTTTATAAGTAATCAATAGCTTTTAGTTATTTGATGTGTTTGTCCAAAAAAAAAAAGTTATTTGATGTTTTCTGATTGTATGAAAGGGTTAATTATAGCCGTTTAAGAGTTTCCTTAGTGATATAAATAACCAACATTCACACCAAACTATGAAAATGACCAACTACCCCATTACAATAAGGACTTTAAAGAGTTGATATTTTTCTCTTTACACCTGTTTAGTTTAGTTTTCTTCCTTTAATCATTTCAGTAGCATGCTTTAAAACAAAACAAAAATAAACATGTAGTGACCAAAGAAGAAGATAACAAAATAAAAATAGCTGGAAAAGCAAGCATATATACGAATACCAAAACCATACAGATACAATCATTACATGCATATGAGGCTAAAGACTGCTTTTGTGGACCAGATAACCATTACATACGTTCGAACTTTGAAATTAAAATGAGTTGTTCAAAACACACAAAAAAACAAAAATGAGTTGTTTCACTTCACTAGATCTCTCTTATTCATAAGTTTTTACGAACTACACCCAACCGGTTTCGTTTTTAAGGAATTAATTTGGGATTTATCTCAGCAAATAGATGAGAAAGAGAGATTTAAAAATGTTGTTAAGTTAATTTAAAAAGAAAAAAAAAATTGAAAACTTTTTCCGACCAAAGTATAGTAATGAGTTCCTCCAAGTTGGAACTCTTTTGTTTTTTCTTTTAACTTTTGAAATCTAGTCGACCGTTGCCGTTGGTGGGATTCAAAATCTACTTACTTTTTGTTGTAGATATGACTTTTGTAGATAACCTTCTTCTTATTATTTTTTTTTTTTTTGGAAATTATGTGTAACCATTTTAAAAGAAGAACTTACTGTAAGATAAATATATATATATGACTGGCCACAAAAAATAAAAGAACATAAAAAAGCTCTTTGGAATTTCGGAAATATATGCAGTATCATAATATATAGAGCCATAATTATGTTGAAGAAAAGAGTTGTGTTGTGGTATTTAAGGATTCAAGTTGTTTTGAACTCAGTCATGTTAAGAAAAGAGTATTATTTTTTTTTGGTAATGAAGAAAAGAGTATTATGTTTTCCTTTGTCTGTATTTGTTTTGACTACTGTTGACAAATGTCTGTTTGTCAGTTTCAGATCAAGCAAGTGTTTGAAACTCATTGGGCTTGATTGCAAGCTAGAAGCCCATTGTCTCTATTTATACTCTTAGCTTGACGATCATTTTTGTAGCAACGGATTTTAATTGCTTCAGAATCTCAGACCAAACACTAATAATAAGGCCATGAATGTTAAACATAATGTTAGAGTTTCTAAGTAGTTTTTTAGATTATAGATTTTGGTTTTCAGATTTTATATTTTTTTTGGTTTTTAGATTTTGCGTAATAAGGAAAAAAAGTGAAATTGAAAACTGGATTAGCTTGAACATTGCAAGTAAATCTCAGGATTTTGTTTAGAAAAATGCAAAAACTCTCAAAATCTGAATTTCTTGTTTTTTAGGGGAATCATTTTTTCCTTAATCTTGACTGGACAAATGAATGCTTTTTGGATAATCAGGAACCAAAAAACTATGCTAGAAAGTAGAAACTACTACCATTTAAAGCCTAAATTTTATTAAATATATATATATATATATATATATATATATATAAGGAGAGATGATTATCCAAGAAAACTATATAAGACAAATGAAAAGAAATAATTTTCCAATTAAGAAAGAGACTTTTTAGAATTTCAGGCTTATTTATAATATTTCATCGAAAATGTGTTCAATGTTTGTTTTTTACAATAATGATTGTATTTAATTTGTTTTATATTTATGTGTTTTATACTTATGTAAATTTGGTACGTTATCATATAATTAAAAATAAAAGAATTTTTCTTTGTTATTTAAATATCATGGTTTATCTTTTCCTTTGTTATGTAACCTTTGTTATTTAGTTTTGAATAATTTTGTTCTACTCTATAACCGATATAAATGGTGAAATACGAAAATTTTAAAAAAAAATCACAATAAAATCCCAGAAATTAAGTAAATTAGCCCTGATGACAACAAAAGAAAAAAATAATAAAATAATAAGTAAATTAGCCCCAAGTTTGAACTTTGAATATAGTTTAGTTCTAATCCCATCCTCATCTTCCGCGCGTGATACACAAAGACCTCTAAAGTCCAAAATGCGATTTTTTAGGTCAAATGTGAATAAATTAAATGCAATTGGCGCGTGGGATTTCCCATAGTATATTTTTTTACTGTCTTAACGCAAAATCTTGTTTTGGATCTTCTTCGCCAGAGTGAGTGATTATCATCCAGTGAAACCGTACTCACCGTGTACTCGAACAAAACAGTACACGTGTCCTTTCACGATTTGTTATTATCCATAACGAGTTCTCTCTTTTATCGAAACACAACAGGCTAAAGTCTTCTTAACTTCTAGAAGCCAATCTGACCGTCCATTTTGTATCGGACGGTTGTTATTAAAATCACACTAAAATAAAAGAAAAATAATAAAAAGAATGGGCTGAAAAAAGGTGAGCGTCGCAGTAAAAGAGCAGAGGGTAAGCAGTTTTTATTTCTTATGTGTTTGTGTTATAAAGAAGATAGATAAACAGTGTGTTTCGATCTTCTGGTCTCATCGAGATATTAAAAAAGTTTCTCTTAACTTTTTTTTTTTCTTTTTGGTTTTGTTGAGTTTGAATCCTATCATCTAATCTTATATGTATATCTTCCGATAGAAGAAAAAGGGAGCAGCTTTATTTCTCTCTTTTCTTCTCCATTTTACCTAAACAAAATTCATCCCAAGTTTCACTCTTGTAAGTGTTTTCTCTTCTCTTTTATGTATTTATTTGACTGAAGAGGTTATACAATGGTGGGTTGTGTTCTGTGTTTTTATTATTGTTGAAGAATCGTTTCTGCAGTATACACTTATTTGATTTTATAGGTTTTACTCTCTTTTTTCTGATTTTCTTTTACTGTTTTTGGATATTGCTGCTTTATAGGGTGATTCTGGAAGCTAAGTTACTGACTTTAAGTTGCAGATCTTGAGGTTAGTGAGTCTTGTTTCTACAAATTAGCTCGGATTCGTCTCTCTCTCTCTCTCTCTCTTTTTTTTTGTCTGTGGTTTTGTTTCAATTGGTTGTTAGAAATCAGAAACAGACAAGTGAATGGAATTCTTTTCTCCTTTTGTGTGCATTTTATCTGTAAAATAAAAAAAGGCAGGAACTTTCTTTAGTGATTGTTCTGGATTTGTTTGGTCTATTTCTGGAAGAGTTCTCAATGTCTGAGTTTATTTATCTTTATTGTTGGCTGTGTAAGGTTAAGAAAGAGAGTGAGTTAGTGTTGTGTAATGGAGGAGGTAAAGGGACAGAGAGGTAGTGGAACCACAGAGGCTGATTTTGTGTTGCAATGGGGAGAGAGAAAAAGAGTTAGGTGTATGAAGGTGAAGAAAGATCAAAGCCTTACGAATGGCAAATCAACTGATTGTTTGACTAAGCGAAAACTCATTTCCCGTGCTGTCTCTTCTGAGAGAGGCTCCCCTTCTCGACATCTTAACCGTCCAAACAAGTAAGTTTGCTTGGTTTTAAAAGAAAAATTGGGATGAAATGGTTTGTTTGGGTCTTATCTTTCTAGTTTTTGATGTTAAACATTGTTATGTTTCTGCGGTGATTGATAGGATCACAGATTCACTAGTCAATGTGCGGAGATCGTTTGTGGCGTCGCCTGAGAAGGAAGATAGGTATTATACAACGAGGGGTTCCATGGGAATAGATGACAGTGGGAAAATTATTAAGGAACCTATGAAAGAAACCAAGAAGCATGTTTGGCCTAAGTTGTTTATAACTTTGTCAAATAAAGAGAAGGAAGAAGATTTCTTGGCTATGAAAGGTTGCAAGCTTCCTCAAAGACCGAAGAAACGAGCCAAATTGGTTCAGAAGACATTGCTTGTGAGTCCCTTTACAAAATCTTTACTTGTGTTCTTCATAACCCCTTTCATCTCATGACTATGCATTATGCAGCTGGTGAGTCCAGGTGCTTGGTTATCAGATTTGTGTAAAGAGAGATATGAAGTAAGAGAGAAAAAGACTTCAAAGAAGGTATCAGATTTTTCTCTTTATGTTTCTTTGTAGATGTTAACGTTTCTGTACTAGCAAAGATGTGTGATACATTCATTGTGATGTAGAGACCAAGAGGATTGAAGGCAATGGGGAGCATGGAAAGCGATTCAGAATGAATAATGGTCGAAGAGAAGAACTTAAGCGATATTTTCAAGATTTTGGCGAGGGGTAGAAAGGATGTGTATTTCGCTTTTCCATTACATTTGAGATGCCTCTCTTCATTACTACAAGTTATATACGAGGCCCTTGTATTTTTGCTGATGTTTTGCTTTCAAAGCTCATCTATCTTCTCTCAGTCTATTTTCTCACCTTTAACTTCTTTTACTAGTTGATCTGCACATAAAGAAATCTTGGGAAAGTTCTAGAATCTCCATTAGGACATGGATGAGTGAGTGTAATGAGAATTCCAAAGCTAGATCAAAAGAGAGATGTATTGAAAGAGAACAGAAAGCGAAAGAGAGCTCATATATTAGAGTGGAAACGAAATCTGCACACAGATTAGTGTCTGAATAGTACAATACACCAACCAAAACTGCAGCTACCACTACCTGATTACCAAACCTTTACCTAACAAGTCACAAGTCTCCTATTTCTCTCATTTACTCAGTTATGAAGTAGTTATTCTACATTTGATAAATCTGTACTTGTCACGATACCTACAAATGTACATTTGATGCCTGTCTCAAGATCGAGATGGTATGTCGGTGAGCCATGCCTGAAAGTGCTTTCTCCAGTGCAATTTAACCTCTCAGCAGTAAGCTTTGTGGTGCGACTCAGGACAATAACAAAAAGATTTCATCCCATGACTTCAAAGATTCACCAGATAATGTGATGGCCAGCTATCAGATCAGACGCTGTTAAAAATTGAGTTAAGTCTGAATGAGGAATAGTGGGCGAGAGAGAAAGATGGGAAAAATCCTTGCAGAAAGGTAAGAAAATACCTTTTCTAATGTTGCGAATTTTGTGGGCAAACAAGTCTTAACATTGAGACATACGCTGTCTGGTTCCTTAAACAACACAAGCACTTGGACGATTTCATGGCATGCTGGTTGGTACAACTGAAGGAGAGAGCCTCTGACTACATACATGGGCACTACAAAGCTTCAAGAACAATGGATGCTTTTGTGAAGACTGAAAGGACAAAAGGTGCTTCTTCCCCTGGATGTATAGTTGTCGGGACAATAGTATAACCCTTAGGATCAGGGTCAAGAACCATTTCGCATGATATCTCCCGGGAATTCACATAGTCTGTTCCACCAACAGATTCATGAAGAAATATGTTATAAGCAGCACGACGTCCCCGAGTTTTAAGAATCCTCATTCCGATATAGAACAACTGTGAATCATGGCTTGATTGGTAGTTACGAAATCCAGGAGTTGTTCTTGAGAAACCTACGCCCTGTAAGTTTCATTGAGAGAATAAGCCAAGGATAGTTACATAAGAATTATATAAAGAAAAAGTTTCCACCAAGGGATAGTATGTGCCTGAGTTAAGGTGATGAACACATGAATTGGCGAAGATGCATCAGAACCAGTTGCCCTCAGCCTGAATTGTGGATTTTGATGCCATGAGCTATAATCTTGGCAGCCACCAGCACTATAACCTCGCCATTGACCATGTACGGAGAAGCGCATCTCACGGGGGTAAACCCGACAAACATATATTGATCTGAAATGAATCTGGAAGTCTTGCCAAGACATCCAGAATATACCTTCTTTTGACTGTAATAGAATGCACAGGATCAGTACACAATATACTTTACTAGAACCAACCATAGCATAATTTCATATATTTACACGCAACTATGAGTTTGTCCCTGTGTGTCCCCATGTTAACAGTAAATCACAATTTTTGACGAGATTCTGAAACATGAGCCCCTAATCGGTTAAGAGAATTCAAGGAAGCCGTAAAGAAGTGAAGCGCAAGAGAAACTACCTGTGGAACATGCTTCAGCTTGTGCTTCATCCTATCAGTCCACTCAGGGGATGAGTCTGACCAGGGACCATTCCACTCAACTTCATTGGCCCATGGATTTCGGATCTGAACAAGCCTGTGCCCATCGACCTCTCTCACCTGAAGAAAGACAATAAGTAAATTTGTTAAACTGTGTTCTACTTGGCATAGCGCAAATGCAAACAAAGCGACAGATACCTGTAAGACGGAGTAAGCATGCCCTTGCACAATGCCACTGGAAGATACATGAACATCAGATCCTGATGGACTTCCAGCACCAAGTAAGAACCCTTCTTGTTTAAAGCGTAACAATTGAGACCATAATCTGCCACTTGCAAGATCTATTTGTGCTTGAGCACTTCGCAAGTCAATTTCCTCACCAGCTCCTCCAGTTAGGTCGACAAGAGCATCCTGAACCAGTCCCCCCTCCAGTGCCTCATAAGAACCATGGAGCTTGGCATATGCTTTCTCCACTATGGAGACCCAGAGCTCATTGAGCTTTTTGCTAGTAGCAAAGGCTGGTTTAGCAGGTGATTCACATGGAATCCAGTCATCGATCACAACAGGAACCCACTCACCCTGCAAGGGGACAGCAATCAAACTTGAAACCTCTTATTGTACATAAATCATAGAAGAGCCTGCACAAATCTACAAATAAGAGAACAAAGCAGTGCCCGTGAAACAATGTTTAAGACAGGAACCTGAATACAAAAACGAACAGTGTAGATCCCTTCCTCGTTGTATTCAGGAGTAATGATCACTTCAGATATTCGTGAAACCTCCGTCAAAACTGCAACAGCGCTTAAGAACCAACAATCCCCCAAACGTCCCTATAGAACAAGTTAACCCAGTCGCAAGAATTAATCTCTGGTATCGTTGAATGACATGCATACAAGACGGCCAAGGAAACGTAAATGATCAGAAAAAGTAATTGATCAAACCTGGCAAACATCAGAAGGATTTGCATCCCCAGAGAACAGGCAGGGATGGGAATCACTACCGTTCTCTTTCACAATGGAGTCAGGTCTCATCCATTCAGAAACAACCTGAAATTATGACAAATTCAAAAGGTTAGAATACCCATCAAATTGTTAATTAACTTGATCTATGTGAAAGCGGATTCTGTGCCCAGATATAATCACTTAAAGGAGTGAGGATATTTAACTTCAAAAAAAAAACAAGGAGAAAAAGTTCACGATCCCTACCTGCAATTTTGGAGGGGGGTTTTGTGTATCCACAAATAAAGAGCGATCATTTGGAGGAAATTCCTGGTCAGTAAATTGCTTATCGCCTCGTGCAGAGAGAGCTTCTTTGACAGCCAACTCAACTGACCGCATTCTTTGATTTATCTCTTCTTCTGTCTCCATCCTCGGTTTCCTGTATCTCCTAGCAAAGGAATCAACACTCATTACAACATCCCGACCTGATCTTCTCTTCCTCCCACTGGAATATTGGCCATCCCAATCTACGTCATCCCTATCATAGAGATCAACATCGGCAGGATCACTATCCCAACCGTCGACCTGGTAAAAATAGAAATAGGAACCAACGAAAATTAGTATGAGCTCTAACATTTGCCTCCACAAACATCGGCCTGCAAAAATATATGCAAACATTCAATAAAAGGAAACATACTCTAGGGGGTGAATCTGTCCATTGCCAATTGTCATCAGACAAATCAATCATGTCTAAGTCAGCCATGCCAATGGTTGCATGCAAAGAAGCGGCCTCATCTTCACTTAAACATTTCCCCCAAAGGAAAACATCCATTATATGCATCTTTGATTCGACTCCATCACTATCTGATCTCCCGAAAGCATCAACATCTATAGGTGCCCTAACACCCAACCAAACTTCAGCTCCTAGTTCCCAAATGGCATTACCAATACTTAGAGGTAACCCAGTCTGGTAACCATCAAACCCCCCATCTATGTAACAAGTAGCTTCCCCCGCATCAGCATCAATTGTGATTGTCACTGTATGCCACCTGTGATTGAAACCACAAAAATAAATATGACAGAAATCAATCAGCAACTTATGTCAAACCCGATCATGAGAAATATGCATCACAAAAGTCCAAGAAATAAATTCTGACAATATGGAAACTGAGGGGAAAAATAATTTATGACCTTCCATCAGTTATGCTGGTTGCACCAATGTACCACTCTCTAGCGACGGTTGTCTGTCTCTCACCTTTTGTAATCAACCTAAGCCCAACTTGGCCAGCCTCGATTCCTTGCTCAGAACCAGCAACCAGAATCTCCCAACATACTTTCTTTTGAAATTCAGTGCCAAAAAGACATACGGGTCCAGAATCGGATTGGATCATTGCTGTAATGGAAATGCTAATCTTCTGACTTTGACAGACACTTGAGTCTATTTGGCCGCAATGTTTACCACTTATCATAGGTTCATCATCAACAACACAAACTGCCCCAGAGATTCCAGTCTGGTAATAACTTTTCTTAGTTAATATTCCAGCAATCAGCATAATAAGAAAGTACACTTGCAATATATATAAATAATTTTTAACCTGTTGTGCACGTCGGTCTAGTTGAGCAGTGCGTATCCTACGTGCAATACCCGAGACTCTCTCTCTTGCAAAGGAATCCTCAAGGACAGAATCACCCCCAACAGCACGTATTGCAGCTGCCATGGCTGCTGCCTCTCTGCTACCAGCATTAGGAATAGATGGAATAAGGGAAGCTTCAATTTCCTTCCATTTGCGCTCTTCCTTCTCCAAAAGAGCTTTCCTTCTTTCTTTACCTCTCCCTTCTTCTTCCCGTCTTTGCATAAGGATTTCCTCTTCCATCTCTTTCTCTCTCAGATAACTAAAGTTTACAATACAAAAAAAAAAGTTATAGGCAACAGTGTAATTGTTCAGCTCAATCAAACCAATTAATAAAAGAAACATGTACCTCTCTTGGATAATTTCAAATTGTCTCCTATCCTCTGGCTTCCATTTACTTATTTTTCTGGCACTTAAGTCCGAGAACCCAATGCTATCTAAGAAGAGCCGCAACCGTACCTCATCCTGAAACATCGTGATAATCCAGTCTTAGACAAACATTGAGAAGAATATATGAATATATAGAATCAGGATTCACCTGAACTCTCTCCGCCTTAGCTGTCAAACCTAACAGCAGGAGTAAATAACCACCAAACTTGTCCCACATATACACCCATTCTGTATCAATTGCCTCTTCCAGCGCCAAAACTCTTGCATGCGCACACATGTCTCTTCTGTAATCTACATTTGTAGGTGGTTCATGACGAAATCCTTTCCTGCATTGCATTTTGTAGAAGATCGAGCCAGCAACTCTTTCTTCATTCCTGAGACGGTCCC